GCAGGCGGTGCTTGAGCGGATAAGTTCAGTGAGCCTGATTCATTTTGCTGCCCATGGTGACGCCGAAAGGGGAGAAATTGCCCTCTCCCCCATCCCTAGTACTTCCAACAGGCGAAACGCTATCTTACCACATGAAGATTACATGTTGACGATGGCTGATGTATCACGAGTGAAAGTCAGAGCTAAACTGGTGGTACTTAGCTGCTGTCACAGTGGAAGAGGTCACATTAGAGCCGAGGGAGTCATAGGAATTGCCCGTGCGTTCTTAGGATCCGGTGCTCGCTCGGTGTTGGTTGCGCTGTGGGCCATTTCAGACTCAGCAACAGAGCAGCTGATGAGTCGGTTCTACGAACACCTTGTAGAGGGAGAAAGTGCCAGTGAATCCCTCCATCAGGCCATGAAGTGGATGAGAAAAAGCAAGTCTACCAGTGTGTCTGAGTGGGCTTCGTTTACGCTGATTGGAGATGATGTGAGACTCGGGTTTGACAAGCAGAGGTAAGACTCAGTCCGAAAAGATATTTCACAAATTAAAGTCTAAGTAGATGTGAAGGTAGCTGTGATTTACTGGTCGGTGACTGTGGGCGGGGGTCCTTTGTTACCATCAAGGGTAGTTCGGTATATATCCATATACATATATTTTTTTTCTTTTCTTTTCGGAGAGTTACTATCGACGCTCTCTGGTGTAAATATAGAATCTCGAAAGGGCCTCTCTGCCAATCACATACAAGTGCTAGCCATTTATATTTTTAGATATTAAGCTTGGTATAATTGTATTTGCTTCATATCCAAAATATTAATCGAGTTAATAATAAATTGCTGTTTTTTTTTCTCTTTTTTTTTACAGAGAAAGAGACCCCGACAGAGTAAATAATGAGAATCACTCGAAGGAAACAGAGCCAAAAGACTTTTAGATGCATAAATTGAATAGAGCAAAGTAGAGAACATACTTTATCCGGTATTTCATTAAAATTAAAAAAGGAGCTATCCCAAATTAGATCTAGTTCAATTTTTTGTGCTTTCGTTTTCAATATTGTTAAAAGACGAAATTTGTATCTATCCAGTGTTTTTTTTTACTTATTTAAACGTTGGAAATGAATGGAAATAGTATATTAGCATAAGCCATTCAGTAAAAATTATAATAAGCCAGTTGATCATTTCTTATTCCTTTTGGCGGTCTTATCTTACAGGTATAATTTAGCACGCTCGACACCTCTTTTTCTTAGAGGTGACTTAAGGTGTAAACAAGTAGTACTTTTCATCCTCCGCACTGAATTTATAATCAGGTAATTTATACGAATAGCACGTAGCTCTTTTAGGGGCAGTACCTTGGGTACGCCCTTTCTTCTCCAAATTTTCTGTTTATTGTGCTGTTATGTAACAGTCTTCGAGAAGTATTTCCTCTTAAAATATATTTTCAAGTATGATTCTAATTCTGTTGATAATTTCATTACAATTTTTATATTATCAATCTTGTTTTAGTTATGACCAACATTGACTGTAAGACTAAGAAATTTAAGGATTTTGTAAAGCGTAAACATCTCGAAGGTATCTACTTAGTATGCGAACTCCACTCTGCGTAGCTTAACGTGATTCGCTAGTTAAGTGTAAAAGGATGACGAAGGTTAGAGATTGGCAGCTCAGTAAGCGTCCCTTTTATAAGTGGAGACCCACACTTTTCTTGTTAGATCTGAGTTAGTCCCGAGGTAATAAGTTGTATGTAAGAAAGAGAAGAATAAAGAAACCTTCAACTGAACAACGCAAAAATTATATTTCCAATATCATAAGCACAGAAAAACGTTGACGTAAGTAAGGCTTTAAAGTAAAGCGAAATCAGTAAAGTTAAAACAGTAGTTTAGATATAAAACGAACCACTATAATCTGATTAAATTTTTTTTTCAAAGCCTTTTGTAAGGTTTAGTTAACAAAATCTTCAATATTTGAGGAATAAATTTGATGTAGCATCTTAAAAGATCCTTGTCAACCACTCCTCTTCCAAAATATATCCTGATCAAAACTAATCTATGAAGACAGAAGTTTAAAATCGCTTCCGGATGTCATGCAGGCTCGTCAATACTTCAAGAGTGTTATGTTAGATTTTTTTACAAATTGTAGTGATTTATGCCAATTAACGGTGGCGACAAGTGGGCGTACCATGTATTTTTCATTGTCGCTATCAAGCAAATTTTGCCGGAATTTGAGTTCGTCTTAAGATAGAACAACACAAATACACAAGGAAATTTTTACAGTAACTTTATAACCATCCTTTTGTCTTATGAAAGCTTGAAGCTCAGTAGATTGTGTCATATCGGTCATTGTTAAAACTGTCTTTGTTTTGATGCTACTTTTCGACATAGGAAAAGTATGTCGCACAAAAATATTCACCAAAAAGTAAATATTTCTTTGGCAGCTTCAATAACGACAGGGGATTAAGTTTAGATGATAAAACAAAGGATTATGTTCACAGAAATACCGAAGGTCCGGTACATTCGATACATGAGGTCACACAACTCGGGTAATATTCACGGTGAAAATTTGCATATTTGAGCGGTCGAACGAAAAAAATTGTTTCTCGAAAACTAAAATATATTTTTACAAAAAAACCACACCATAATTATTAGAACATATTGGGCTACAAAATATAAAAGTAGGAGGGAAAAAAAATTTGGGTGACTTGCCGCTGTTTGTTTGATGCATGCTGACATTAGCTCTTAAATGTGAATGACGCTATATGTTTAAAACTTTTAAACGGCGTTTCTTTCCCTACAAACCATCATCAACAGCCAGTAGTCGCGTATCCTTTTTAGCGGCCCACCAACAATTCCTTTTTTTCCACTTCAAGAACGAAATCAAAACTTAAACCACAATTTTTTTGGACACGATTTATCATCGACACCACGCACGTTCTTTTAGGGTGGACGCAACTTGGTAATGGCACGACATCTTTTGATGTTTTATTTTCATGATTACTTTCTGTCGACTGTTTTTCGAAATAATTTCACATACGCTTTAATTTTTCAGTACATTAAAACGCAAAATTAAGTTGACTTGGTCGTAAATTTACATACGACTACCGAATTCGCGAACATGTTCATTTCATGCACGAACTAACTCATAAATGACTGTGTAAAATATATAACAAATTAACGCCGCAAAGAGGTATTTGCACTTAAAATTTTAAGTGCTTTTGAGATTTTCTTTCAACCAGAAAATAACGTTATTTACAAATGCCCCTTCTTTTTGTATCGAGGTAGGAACTCACAACTTTTCTTTGATGAACAAGAATCGGTCAGTGGAATGTAAATACGTTTTTATGGGTATAATATTATGTTTGATTAAAACATCTAATGCACTTGGCTTGATTACATCTAAAATTATAAAAAGAAGGCTGCACAAGGTTATCTTAAAGTACAAACTAGTTTATTGCTTGCCTCATCAACTATTTCTTCTGAGTAAATTGTAAAAAAAAAATTGGGTTATTGTTATTGATAGTCATCATGAATGCAAAATCGTGCGTTTTCCTTATAAACTCCTCAGGGCAAATAGTCTCATCAGCTGTCAAAACATCAATACTGTTACAAAACCTTTATTAATTAGATGACATGGATGATTGAGTTTAAAAATAAATTACCACGAGTTTTATCCTGTTTCTTTGAAGACTTTAAACATTTAAAAGCATATTTATCGGCCGGTAGTATTGCAACTTGGATCTCGACAAAAGGATCGACAGAAAATTCCATTTTAGCCATCGATCAATTCAGGATCTTTACACTGGAATGATGTTGTTTCATTTGATGATCTTTTATTTCGTTTTCTTCTCGACCTCAGGGTATTATTAACTTTTACATCACTGGATGAATTTTTAAGTTTACCTTAGAGTTTTGGCTGCCCATGCATACATCCTACTCAAGAAATCTTTAGAACCGAAAAATACTTTTTATTTTTCTTTTAGAGTTTCTACTTTGTCGATTAATTGATTTGGAGATTTATATTTATATATAATATTTTTATATAACTAAGTCTTGAATTGCAATAGACCCAGCACCAATCTGTGATCCAACAAAATAATTGGGCTGGAGTTATACTTCTGAGAAAAATAGGGGATTAGATACCCTTAATTTTATTCTTTCGCCCGAAATTAACCAGCGTTCAGTGATATATATACAGTCAGAAAATCATTTATGAGCAAATTTGACAGGAATGCCCTCTGGCTACATTTCTATCTTGTTTTTATAGACTTCATAGGATTGTCCAAAGACTTAGCAGTGCTGAACTGTAAGGTGCTCAAAGAGAAGTCCCCTTACGCCGTGTCAGGCGTCTATTGGATAGATCCTGATGGCGGTTCCCGTAGTAACGCTTTCCAGGTCTACTGCGACCAGCAAACAGACGGAGGGGGTTGGACGCTAGTTTACAGTTACACTTTCACTACCTACTCAAGCTTCTGGACCGGCCGAAACGCTGTCACTCCGCGCCCATCTTGGTCAGCTAGCGGCGCTAACGTTCGAGTGTCTAAAACAGTTCCACTGAGCGAGACGCAGTATGAGGCCATGGACTTTTCTTTGTGGCGCAGCATTGGCAAGGAATTCCTGATCAAGAGCAACATCGACAACTGGATTGCATGCAAGGAAGGTTCTGGTAGCATAGTGCAACACAAGAAGGGGTCACTTTCTTGTAAACTGGTGAAGCAGGTTTCTAATCAGTGCACTGGAACGGTACCAAAATCTATGAGTCTTCCCAGTCGCAGACCTCTCCTCACTGCTGGAAGTACTTATTACTACTTTGACGGGGACACAAGAATTAACTCACCAACTCATGATCCTTGTGGTAAAAATCGACCAAACCAGTTGAGAAACGTGCAAAACCCACATGGAAACATTTTTGTGCGCTGAGAACCTCACGTGAATCGTCTTAAGTTTTATTCTGTAAGCGGCTCAGAATTAAAGATGGGTTCTTGGGATATCAATGCCTGACTTTTCGAGAGCTGTAATTGTTTAAAAAAAAGTTGTAACCTTCACGCTCTCTAGCTGAGCATCTACCCGTGTTTTCGATTTCAGCTCATAACGAGACAACCCTCGTAATGTGTTAATATTCTGTCCTAAAACACTCTCAAATAAAAATTTGGTCTTCGCCTCTCTTCACCACTCCCCCTCTTCCAGCAAGAATTTACGGCCCTCCCAAAAATGCATAAGAATCGTGAAGCTAACTCTACACCGCCATTTCGCTCCGTCGTATCTTCTATAGGAACATACAATTACAACCTGGCATCTCATCTCACATTCCAACTGATTACTGTGCCACTGACACTTTTACTTTTGTACAGGACATCCAATCGTTATCTATATCTCGTAAGTTTATGGTCTCTTTTGATGTTGAAAGTCTCTTTACTAACATACCTCTTGAGGAGTGTATCGACTTAGCGGTCAATTACATTTCCGACGGTAGTCCCGACATTAAGTTGAACAAATCTGAACTTAGAAGTCTCTTCATTGGAGTTACCGCCCAGACTCATTTCATATTTAATGGTTCTTTTTATGATCAAATAGATGGCGTAGCCATGGGGGTCTCCCCTTGCCCCTGTCTTAGCCAATCTTTTTATGGAACATCACGAAAAACTTTGGTTGGAAAATTTTCATGGCTCTACAATTTTATTTTATCGCCAGTATGTTGATGATACTTTTTGCTTATTTAACCCAGATCGAGATGCCACTATATTTTTCGACTATATCAACTCTAGGCACCCTAACATCAAGTTCACTATGGAAAAGCAGGTTAATTACAAATTACCCTTTTTAGATGTCCTGATTGACAACCATGACCCCAGTTCCTCTCTAACCAGGATTTACCGCAAGAAAACTTTCACTGGGTTACTAACTAATTATTTCAGCTTCACCTCGTACTCTTACAAAGTGGGTCTCATTAAGACACTCGTTGATAGGGCTTACAAGATTAATAACACCTGGTTAGGGTTTCACGAGGACATTAACAATCTTACTGATATTCTAAAAAAGAATCTTTTCCCTGCTCATTTAATCGAGATTATAAACCGTTACATCACTGGGACCCAAAACAATCATCATCCCCGGGATTCCCTTCCTACCACTTCACCTACGTTCTACTTTAAGCTACCCTACATAGGCCACTTATCTGCTATCACTCAAAAAATATCTGCCATTTTATTTATCGCTATTGCAACGACTTGGATATCAAACTGGTTTTCTCTTCCTTCAAAATCGGTAACTT